GCAAGGGGGAATGGCTTTAAACTGAGAGTAGGTTTAGATTAGCTATTACGAAGAATTCCCCTACTATGAGGGTGATGAGGCACTGGAAGTGGTTGCCTATAGACATTATAAATGCCCTATCTCTGGCAGGGTTCAAGACCAGGTTGGATGGGGCTTTGAGTGAGATGGCAGTGGAAAATTATCTTTAGTGTTCTTTTGCACACAAACTAGTTTATGATTCTATGCTAATGGACTTCATCTCAGAGAGGAGCTTCTTCATAATCTTCTGTGTCACTATATTAATGAAGTCCAGTTTGGAGACTGCTTAGTCTTATCTTACTTTCAGATCAAACTTGTTTCAACAGTGTTTTATGTAGCCCTCGTGAGGAGTTAGAACAAGTCACATAAGTCTTTTGTCTATGTGCTTGTGTAGAGTAACAGTGTTATTTCATGTAAACGTCTTTACTTAATCTACTGGGCATGGAAGTGCATTTCAGATAGCTTCTCCAGCTGCAACTCCATAGCAGATCAGAATGGACTTGGACTTTATCCAAAGGCAGCCAAACTGTATCATTTAGTTGTCCTAGTTGTTTTTACCCTTTCTTTAACCTGAAGTCAAGCACATGGCTTATCTTGTACCTCCCGTACCAGTGTAATTGTTTATCCAGTGTCATGCAAGTCAAGCATGCCTACTCTGTCACACATATTTCTCTAGACTTTAAGTACAGGAAATATGTACTTAATAAGTGAGGATTATCCACATTGTCGGGCTGAAAGAACATTTACTTCAGTGGTTAAGAATTGTTAGAATTTAAGTAACTTTATAGTGACTAAAGGTTTTTTATTTTCTGGACAGGAGATGGCTCCACCTTACCATGATCAAGCGGTATCAGTGTTTCTAACGCTAGGTGGAAGTGGTCAGCACATCTCCCATAGAAGTATTTAGACCCCCTGGTTTGGGCTTTGAGCTGTAGGGAAATGCTTTTAAGTAGGAAAAAGATCTGAGTCTGAATATGGAAACACATAAACAGTATGGTTGAATGGTGATCCAAGTATGAGGTATGTGTGTGTCCTCTTCACTTAAAAATTTCTTGGCTGACCATTTCACATAGTGATTGAACCTAAACCTTCTGTAAGTGTAAGTATCCTGATAAATAAATCTTGCAGAGGGGTTTAAAAAGAAGCAGAAAAGAGAAAAATTATTTCCATTACTGCATCTAAGCTTAGTAAGTGTTGCAAATGTATCTTTGTCTATTCCCCTCCCACTCCCCCGCTGTTCGCTTAAAAACGTATTTTTTGTAAATGTGGATGTCTAACAGCAAATGTGTTGAACAAGGTGTCATGTAGGATACTAAATTAAGGCTTTCAGTTTGGGGTACACCAATACTCACAAATATTGCAGCACTTCAAGAAAGTGTGAGGGACAAAAAAGTGGAAGCCACAAAGGACAGTTTGGAAAATGGTGTTGCAAACTGTAAGCTTAAAGAAAATGTGTCCACATTAGCATTGATGTTTCACACAGTGTGACACATGCAGTGTGACGCTGAAAAAAGTGACTGAACCTCAAGAGATTTAACGTAAAGCATGTTCCTTGCCCACAAGTTTGAGTGCTGGCATTGAATTTTTCTTAGTCACTTTTTTTTCTCCAAAGTCAAAATTCTCTCTGTGCTATCATGGAAACCAATCCCAGCTTTGTTCTTTGTGATAGATCAGTAATGCAGTCATAGACTCTCACAATTAACAGACAAATATAATGTATATAGGTTAAGAAAAGTTTTACAGATTTATAGTCACTATGGCAAACAGCTGACCTCTAATCAGGATTTGAGGAAGTAAACTCCACCACTGGACAGCAAAGAAGGAGTCAGTGGACAGAATTTGGGAGAGGCAAAAGGGTTAAAAGGTGAAACCTCCATTGTGTTGGCAAGCACATGTTGGGAAAAATCCTTTGCTTCCAGCACCATAATATTTTCTCTATTCAGTCTTGTGTTGTATTTTTGATAAGGTTTAGTAAACTTCTCTAAATTTATGAAAAGCGTGTAACTATTTCTTATGTTCTTTAAATTAAGGCTGAAATCAATCAGCTTGAATATCTAAGAAAACTTCAGAAATTCCGTGAGTTTGTGGCTGCTATCTTAAGTAAGATTTCTGCCTTCATATATCTTGTTAGGTGCACATGAAAGTAACAAGTGACTGAATCTTTTTCAATAACCAATGTTTTCTTTGTTGGATGAGCAAGCACTTTGTAATCAGTCGAGAACTCGCTTTGTGGTCCATCTTTGAAATGGATTTGGTCCTGACAAAAATCTTTCCATGTTAAACCAGTATGTATTCCCGTTTGACTCTCAGACAAGCCTATGATCTGGATATCTGTTGCCTGCTAGTTTACTCTAGATGGTTTTCACACAGCTTCGTTTTTGTAAGGCATTGTGTAAAATTTTCAGACATGTGATTCAGTAAGGATACTGATTCTCACCTTTAATATGATTCGAAGAAGTTTGCCTGTCTAATGGGTTTCTGATGTCAGTGACCTTCTGTTTGTCAGACAGGAAAACAAAACTCCTTCCCGTTTCTCTTTCTGGAACTTTTATCATGGTTTTACAGGTTAGCCTCACCCCTGACATTTTTCTTCTACTCACAGAATGTGTAATAGATTGTTCTCACTAGTGGAGTATGCAGCTTCTCACTGTGAAGGGAAGTGCATATAGGTATCAGCAGAGCCTGTTTGAACCTTTATCAGCAAAATAGAATAGATTTTCTATATGGCATTTTGTTGCAGCTGTGTTCTTCCCAACTGAGTCTTCAGACACAGCTTTGAATACAGGTGCAAGTTTTGTGGCTACTGTGCAGTTTGATAGCCTGAAATACCAAGATTCTTTTCCTTAGAGCAAATCTGAATTTCTTTCTATTAATAATTCTGTATTGATTAGCCATGCTTAAGCTGTAGTGTCTGGTTTAATGTCTTTCATGAAGTATGGGGGTTTTTTCTGACATTTCTCAGTTGTTTGCTGGCATCTGATTTGGTTTAAATTTGCTAGGGCTATGGTGAGCCATAAGCTTTAGAAAGGTAGTCATAGAGCAGAGGAAAAAGAATATTCAGCTGATGTTTGGAAGACTATAAAGGGTCTTAATCCAGCTATTTGTGGCAGTCACAGTCACAGAATGGGTACGGTGGGAAGTGACCACGGGGGGGTCATCTGGTCCAACCCCCCTGTTCAGCCACGATCATCCTAGAGCACATGGCACAGGTTTGTGTCCAGACAGTTCTTGAATGTCTTCAGTGAGGGAGATTCCACAATCTCTCTGTTCAATCTGTTCTAGTGCTCGGTCACTGCACAGTAAAGAATCTCTTCCTCATGTTCAGGTGGAGCTTCCTGTGTGTCAGTTTGTGCCCATTGCTTTTTGTCCTGTCCCTGGCACCGCTGAGCAGAGCCTGGACCCATCCATTGACACCCTCCCTTCAGATACTCACAGACACTGATGAGGTCCCCTCTCAGCCATCTCTGCTCGAGGCTGAGCAGGCTCAGCTCCCTCAGCCTTTCCTTCCAGAAGAGATGTTCCTGTCCCCCCATCATCTTTGTCACCTCCACTGGACCAGCTCCAGCAGCTCTGTGTCTCTCTGGTTCTGAGGAGCCAGAACTGGACACAGCACTCCCGTTGTGCCTCACCAGGGCTGAGTAGAGGGGCAGGATCACCTCCCCCAGCCTGCTGCCACTGCTCTTCCCAATGCACCCCAGGGCACCATTGCCCTTCCTGGCCACCAGGACACACTGCTGGCTCATGGACAGCTTGCTGTCCACCTGGAACCCCGGGCCCTTCTCCTCAGTGCTGCTTCCCAGCAGATCAGCTCCCAGCCTGTGCTGGTGCCCGGGGTTCTTCCTCCCCAGGTGCAGGACCCTGCATTTGCCTTTGCTGAATTTCAGGCAGTTCTTCTGTGTCCCTCTCCCCACCCTCTGAAGGGCAGCGGGGCCCTCTGGGGTATCGGCCGCTGCTCCCTGCTCTGTGTCATCAGTGAACTCTCTGAGAGGGCACCTGCCCCTTCACCCAAGGCACTGATGGGGAAGTTAAACAATAACAGGCCCACTCTTGAATCTGGGGGGTCTCTACTTGTAACAGGCCTCCAACCAGACCCTGTGCCACTCATAGCAGCCCTCTGGGATCTGACGTTCAGACAGTTCTCAGTTCACATCTCTGCCCCCTCATCCAGGCCCCACTTCCTAGTTCGTCCACAGGATGTTGAAGACAGTGTAGAAAGCCCTGTTGAAGTCCAGGTAAACAGTACCCGTTACTCTTCCCTCATCCATCCAGGCAGTTGTCCCATTATAGAAGGCGATCAGATTGCCTAAGCATGATTTCCCTTTGGTGAATCCATGCTGACTACTCTGATCACTTTCTCGTTCTCCATGTTGATAGGGATGGTGTCCAGAAGGAGGCGCTACATCACTTTTCCAGGGATTGAGGTGAGGCCTGATTGGCCAGTAGTTCCCTGGGTCCTTCTTACCATTTTTGAAGACATTCTTAATTATGAGAATAATCTGAGCAGTATGAAAATATAGTATCAGTGTTTGTGATTTTTTAAAATTAAGTATGTTAAGCAGATAAATCTTTGAAGAATCTTCGCTGACCCGTGTGTCATTTATGAAATTGTAGATGTTCTATTAATACCTCAATGTATTTCAGGACATACAGAGTTATGTTGCCACAAGTGAGCAAATAATGGGGCAATAGGAAGAATATTTAACTTGGTTTATTTGCTTTCTGACACTAGCTGATTATAGAAAATGCAGCACTAACATAATACTACATCAATTTACTAAACTAAATAGAAAATATTAATTTAATAATCCATATATGTAAAAAATGTTGTTATATGTGTTTCTTGCTATGAATTGTCACAGTTCCAAAGAAATTCAGACGTATCAGGTTGAAGTACGGAGTCACAATATGCTTAATGAGTTGAATAAACCTAGTGTCATATTATCTTCTCTCTGAACTTAAATATCCTCAAAATGTACTTCTAGGCAGCTGCAGTGAAAGCAAAGAAACTGGAAGAAGACATTGAAGCAGAGAGAGCAGCACATTTAGCATCCAGTTTCACTTCAGAGATAATCCAGGTAAACTTTTTGTTAAATATTTCCTAGAAGTTTATAGTAAAACAGTTGAGGAAGTTGTGAAATAACTAATATCCAAAAATATGAAGAGCACTTGCTCCAGTGAAAAACCTAACTGAATTTATTACAATAAGTGTCAAAATAATTTATATATATATATATATATATATATATAAAATGAGGACAGAATAGAAGAGTATCTGCTTTTCGGGGAACTTTGAAGTTATTACAATAAATAATAAAATAAGTTGCCATATTTGTAATTTTGAGAATTCCCACCAGAATTCCCATCAGTATTTAAACAGTTAGGGAAAAGGAAATGTTTCATAATAATTAAGCACTATGCTACTGTTTAAATATGCTGCCCTGTATCTTCTGAATGGCTTCTTAGAGCAATTTGGAGACACAGTGCATGCATCCAACTTACCTAGGAGTGACAGCATAATGCATCCGGAAACTGCTGTTTCAAACACAGTTTCTCAGAGTACATTCCAGCTCCAAAATTATCATACTTGCAGTTACCAGTAAAGTTTGATTATATGAATAAATCTAGTGTATATACTTGAACATTAATTTTTTTTCTATCTGTATCACAAAGAGTTATATTCAATAAAAAACTATGGTTTAGCAAAAAAAAGTTTGGAAAAAACCTACATGGTGATTTCTTAGTAATATCATAATAGTTAACAAATTTGCTGGACTTCCAAAAAACTAAGCAAAAAAGAGGGGAATTTGGTATCTTTTTCCCCCTATTTTCTGAATAACAAAAATAAGCATTGCCGTTCTTCAGTCAGACTTATTTTCTTATTTTCATGATCTTCTGTATGTACAGGCTGTTAAATTTTAAAAGTGATAATTAAACTAGAAAAGATTTCGTTTGCTTAATTTCCTCGATATTTCTGCAACATACAAAGGAACTGAGAGGATAACATTTCCTTAAACTTAGAGGCTTGGGTTTTATGGATGAATAACTGATAAAGTCTTTTTCCGTGTTTATGTACATGAACAAGCTAGAAGTATGCTTTGTTCTGAGAGAAAGCATGGCCTTTATTGCTGGTCCCACTCTTCATGAGTCTATTTAAAAACTAGAATTTCCCTGGAAAGCTTCAGTATTAATAAGAACTGAAAATGTTCAGATACCTCCAAATGAGAACAGGACGTACTTTTCATTGTCATATCTATTTGGCTCCGGTTTGAGTTTTATGTATTTTTACATTTTTACATGTGTTCAATGATTTTTACATGTGTATATGCTTTGATACTGAATTATTACAATATACTCAACTGTAAAGCAGAACAGACCATAGAAGATCATGTAAGTGTTTCCTAACTTGCTTTAATTGCTTTTTTATCCCTTGGTGTAGTTAAGAATTCGAGAACTTGAAGAAGCTGTGCGTGTGGAAAAGGACAGACGAGAAGAAGCTCTTTCAGATTTAGAAATGATGAAGAAAGAGTTCAAAGGGTTAGAATATGCATATGAGAGAGAAAAACACAATGCCCAGGAGAACTTGGAAAAACTCAATATGTAAGTTTCCATCTAAATTCATTGTAAAATGGCAGTAGACAGCTGGATTACCACTTACAGCTTACATTTATATACTTTTCAGTCAGTATAAAACAATTAAATCTGATGCAATTTCCCAAACCAACCTGTAGTTCAGAACCTGGTGTTCCATTAATAACATTAATATCACGTCCATATCAGTAGCCATATGGGTGGGTAAAGAAAATAACTGATCTGTTACCAATTATTTGCCAAAGCAAAAATGTTGGAAATTATAGTTATGGCAGGATCCTGTCTCCTGTGTACTTGGGAGGAGTGTAGGAAAGCACACATGGCAGGGGTAAAACAGATTTTTTGCTTCTGTATATACTTACATTATTATGAAAATATTATTGTTCACTTCAGTAAGCTAGATCAATCTTTAAGACTCCTGTTGAGAAGTTGTGTATCATTTATAGCGGTGGATCTTCATTTTCAGCTTTTGAATGATTGCGGAAAGTGTTGACTAGCTAATGAAAATAGAAGAGTGGATGAAGTGCATGAGAGCAGATGAAATTACCTGGGATTCCTTTCCTGCTCAGCACTGTATACTGTATCTGTGGTAACAGATCTTTTTTGGAAGAAAGATTTTGCTTTATTTCCTGGGCAGATATAGGATACACTGTACTGAGTCTTGTTCCTTAGCTGAATAAAGTTGTTATTGGGGTGAGAAAATATCAGGAAGAAGAGTGGTGCTGGAAGACAGAGAACTTGAAGTTCATGAAATAACTTGGAGTATATGAAATAAAGGATAGTAGTTTGTGAAATATAGGGAAAGAGGGGCTTTAGAAGACATGAAGTGGGTGGCACACAGTGAGGTTGTGGGGAGAGAGAGGTAGTAGAATGTGTTGAAAAAGACAGTTTTCATCTCTTAGTTTAGGATTGTGGGGGTCTGTACATAAAAGTATCTGTGTACAGACTTGCTCATACAAGCAGTAGAGAAAAAAAGAAAGTACTAAAAAGGGAAAAAAAGAAACTGGTTTCCATACAAAAAAGGACTTTTGTGGCCCACGTGTTCCTGTATTTCTGCTTACAGAGATGTTTTTAGTTTCAAACAGAGTTGAAACTTGTGCTTTTTTATAAACAACTTAGAGCTCTTTGTTTAAAAACAGCTCAAAAGAGGCACATTTAGGTAAGCCAGTCACATTAAAAAGTGAAAGCTTTTTTCTCAAAGAAAAAGATATAACTTTTATGATAAAAATTTGTGAAAAACATAATTATAGTAATCTAAAATTATTCTTCAGGAAGACTGCAGTCTTCACAGCTGTGAAACTGAGTAAGTATATTTCAAGATGCTCTACCATTCTAAAATAACATCAGCTAATTAAAGTGTAATCTCATCCTGCCTGGTTGTTTTTGCTGTGAGCATTTTTGCTCTGTCAGTAAATACATGACACTAAACTGATACAACGTTCTTTGGCTTTCTGTGAAATGGAGAAGGCCTGGACCATTGATTTGACATTTTATTCCCTTTTTATCGTTTTGCTTTAAAAAACTTCTTTGTTTGCAAACCAGCCTTTTTTTGAGGAATGGTTGTTGGACCAGTAGTTTTGCAGAACACAAGCTACTTTGTACCATCTGAACTTTTTTTGTATGTAACCTTTTATTCTTATAGAGCATATGGACTATGGTTCTTTTTTTTTCCAATCTTGGTTTGGTTTTCTTAGTTTTTAATTTGGTGTAGTGGGTTTTTTATTTTTGCTCTGGTTGGTTCCCATGAGTGGTCCAGAAGATATCGAAAGTTTTCTTGAAGTAGTGTTGAAACACTTGCAGTGTTTGTTCTTGAACCATTTATTCACTTGTCCCAAGACCTAATATTCCAAAGTTTGTCTTTGTATTGATGTTAGACCAGAAGAATTAATCATCCTTGATGAAATGTGGGGCTTTTTAGTTTGGTTTTTTGAGTAATGCTTGTTAAGCCAGTGCAGTTTTTGGTCTAGAAAAAAACTATCCTGTCTTGTCAACATGCCTGCCATAACGTGGCTTCCTGTAATGAGTCAGGGAGCTTTTATTATGGATGTGTACTGGGAACCAATAGATGTTAATAAAATATTAGCTAATTAGCGGCATTTTTAATGTAATTTAAACATCTGTTTAGGTATTTTCCAAATCATTATAATTTCACAAGTTTTACTGCAAGATCTGTCTTTAAATTTTTGGATTAGTAAATTTGGTTAAAAACATGAACTTCTGTAAGTAGTAGTTTTCCAGTTAAATCTCTAAGAATCTCTTAAAGATATTTTTCTGAATTAGATTATTTGGACCAACATAACAATAATGGTTAGGTGTTGAATTGTATTGTGCATTCAGTAATGTTTTGTTCCTTGTGAGAATATTGCCTCTAGATACATGAAGATATTTCTTTGAGCATTGAAGGGATTTGAGTCTAGGGTATTTTTGATCCACAAAAGTTACATCTTTGAAAAATGTTATCATCAAAAAAGAAAAATAAGGGTTTTTTTTAGAGAGTATATTTCTTTGTTTGGAATTACTATATAGGAAATACCTATAGTTTTGCACTTAAGACTATGAAATACAGTTTTACAGATGTGGTACCATTTGCCTTAAGAATTTCAATAGTAGCGCTTACAGAGAAGTAAATTGAGTTGCTAAAGTGCAAGATGAACCTTAGGAAGCCTTCCCTTTTTGCTTTGAACTGGACAATTATGTTCAGTGTTTCTTTTTCAGGAGGGAAATTTGCCCTATCCTTGGCATTTTTTGGGGATAAAACAGAATTTATGCCTGAGGCATCTGTTCTGTGTGTTAATTGAATGTGAGAATAAATGTCATCTAATATCCAAAAAGTAGTTTTCGCTGCTTGCAATCATATGTTGATTCAGGCAGTTACTTCTAGCAGCTTCTGCTAGCTGAGTTTTTTGAAAGCAAATTGTGTTCTGTGATTTCAGAGAATGCACACCTTTCCATGAAAATTAAGACAGTTTTAAAACACAGGTAAAATAGTTGCTGGTTTTGTTAAGAGATGTTGAAGAACCATGAACAGCCTATCCTCACAATTTTGTTAGTCCGGACACCAACATTTCCAGACCTCTATTAAGATAAGTAGCAAAGGTCAAGCTTTTTCTGCGGTGGACATCAGTCTACTCAGTTCTCTTGAGGTAATTACATGGGGTGAGCCGGTACTGCCTCATCTGTTTCCTGTCCCCTTTTTATTCTTTGAAGCATACAAGTGTCAGTAACATTGCTGAAAATCAGTGATTGCTTTCACCGGACACCTTCTGAGAGAATACAACAGCCTTTGATCTACTTACCTTTGAAGGGTCTGGTCTTCGGACTTCAGACAATGTCAGGAGCTTGGCTTTTTTTTTAAGACATAGTTTGGCATCCAAACATATTTTCTCTTTTTCTGGAGGACTTGCATGAGTTTCTCTTTAAGCCTTAGCCAAATAAAGGTCTTAGAGACTTTCATTTGTTGTGCTAGAACACTTGTATGTGTCTTTAGCTGGACTTGATGTAGGTAAATAACGCAAAAGTTGGAAGCTATAAAATGCTGTAAGAATTTGTTTTCTCAGAAAAAAATGTAGTTATAATAACTGAAACCAAGCAAATGGGCTTTTCTGGGTGGCATAATTTTTTATTTTCTTAGAAAAATATAGTTGTAATAACCAAAACCAAGCTAACAGGCTTTTCTGGGTTGCATAATTTATTAATTAGCTCTGAACCCAGTTAGCACTATGTAAATTGGAAGCAACATGGGATTTTGGTCTCTGTGTGAATTTACTTTTCTTGAAGAGCGAGAACATGACATGGAATAATTTGGAACTGCTTTTGCTGTGTTTCCGAAAGCTGTGAGAGTAGAAGCTACTTTGGGGGACTGAAATAGGCAGATTTTGAAGAATAAGAAGTAAACATCTGCAGCTACAGCAAAAAATCAGCCTGGCTGATGCAGAAGCACATAGGTATTTGGTGGACTGCTGAAGCAGTCCTTCAGCTAAAAAGATACATTGATCTTTAACAAATAAATTAAAGTCAGAAAGTGACAATATTGATTCAAAAGCTTCAAAAATGCTTTCAAAAAGAACTTTCAGCCCTTTGCACTGCTTTCAGTTCTTGGGAGACAGGACTGCTAGGAGAAAATTAGATGATGTTTCTACTGGATGTTTCTACTGTTGAGAGCTACATCAAATAATAGTTCAGGTTGAAAGGAATTGCAGGTGATCAATAATACGACCTGCTGCTCAAACTGTGTATAAGCTGTGAGATCAGGCTCTTCAGTTAGGTCTTGAAAATGTGGAGAATGGAGATGGCACAATTTCTCTGAGAACCTTTTCCATACAGTTGGAAAACATATCTCCTTATTTGAACCTCTCTGGATTCAGTACTTGTCTTGTAGACAAGCACTGCTGTGAAGTGATTGTCTGTGTTTCCCTGCTAACCTCCTTTTAGATGCTGGGAGTATCTGTTGTACACTGTGGAGTTATCTCTTCTCCAGCTTGAATATACCAAGTTTCCTCAGTTCTTATGTGTATTTCTGCTGCTGACCATGGTGGTGACCATTCCCTTAAGCCCACCCCAACTTTTTTCCTGTGTTGTAAGGGGTGCATGTAGTTAAAAGTGATCATTACCCTAGATGTGTGATAATGACTGCCAAATACAAGGTGATTAATCACTTCCCTTGATCTGGCTATGCTGCTATTAATACAGCCCAGGATGCTGTTAGCTATCTCTGCTCCTGTGCTGTGCTGCTGATTAGTGGCTGTTGGTCATGGTTACCAGGTTCTTGTTAGCATACCTTCTATCCAGCCAATTACGAGCTACATCTCTTTAGGGTGACCTTCTTTCCTAAATTTTGGTCTTTGCACATGTCATTGTTGAATGCCAGAAGGTTAATTCTGGCCTGTTCTTTCTCCATGACTAGAGAATGGCAGCACTTCAGCTGAGTGTATCAATTGTACTGTGTCATGATCTCCCCACACCCAGTTCACTGTTCACTGCAAGTATTGTGAGACTGCACTCTTGGTTTACTCCTGGTGGTGGTTGAAGCTGTTAAACAGGTCTCAGACAGACCTCTACAGTATTACAGCCATTCCAGCTACTACCATCTGGGCTTTTTCCCGATCCCTTTTGTCTCTTTCATGAGCCCAGTAAAGAAAATTTTCCTGGAAGGAATTGCTTTGCAACCTTCCAGGGCTGAAATGAAGCTCAGTGGTTTATAGTTCCTTGGCTTCTCCTTTTTACTTTTGCCAAATATAAGTGTGACATTTGCCTTTCTTCATTTGCCAGGGACCTCCCCCAATCTTTGTGACCTTTCATGATGATAATGAGCAATGTCATTCTGAGTTTAGCCAGCTTTATCAAAATCATTGGATGTAGGTGAGCTGACCTCTACAATTCCATGGGTTGAGTTCTCACAGGTTATCTCAGACACAATCCTCACCTATTGCTACCAATTGTTCTCCTTTTAGTGTCCTTTTACTGACAGTAGAGGCTTGGGCATAGACCATGTCATGGAAGATGGAGGACAAAAAGGCAGAGAGTATGCTGACTTTCTCTCTCTGCTGTTGGTAAAATAGCTGCTTTGTCTAGAAGTCTGTTCATGTTTTCTTTCCTACCATAACAGTGGTAAAATCCCTTCTCATATTTGTCATCTTTTGTGAATTTTAATTCTAGATGCCTTTTCTGAGGCACCTTCTTTCCATCCCTATGTACTTAGGCAATCCTTCAAAATTTTTCCTTGACTTCTTCTCCCTGGTTCTGTCTCCTATTTGCTATTGTTTGGCCTTGTAATTTTCTCATGACACACCTTTTTATCATGCCAAACTTTCTATACATTTGTTTTCTTGAATACCGGGAGGACTGATGTAGTTCAAGAACTGATTGAAATTTTGAATTGTCTGCTATTGAAATAATGAAATTCTGAGTAGAATTATCAGGGTTTAAGAATAATATTCCCCAATTTAGTGTTCCTACAGAGACACTCCAAACGATGTGCTGCTAAATCATTCCCCTCTCTTCTTCTGCCTTCTGCGGCAAGGTGGAGAGGAGAATTGGACTCACAAAAAGTAAAGATCATAGGCTGAGATAAGGACACTTTACTGGACACAACAATGAAATAAGACAATGAACTGTAACAGCAACAATACTAATGACAGAGTGTACAAGGAAAAAAAGTGATTGATCACCTGTGATTGCACACTGTGGAAACACCCAACCATACCCAGTCCTTCTGCAGCACTACCCACAAGGGAGCCCTTCTCCTGTTCCCAGAAAATGACATGAGGTGGTACAGAATGACCTCCAGGTCCTAGCCATGGCCACTCTTGGCTACTGCAGAAATTAACCCTGTTCTGGCTAGAACAAGGTAAGAATATAGTCAGGTATTTGGAAACTTGAGGAGCAAGCTTTGTACTTTAAACCAGTGCTGATAATGCAAGATGTGATATCTTTCTGAAGAGAACTAATGTGTTAATTAAAATATGATGACTTCTGTTTTATTACATGTAATCTGGAGACCCTATCCAAATTATCAAATTAGTTTATGACTGGAAGTCTAACACAAGCCTTGGTAATGGAAAAGAACATAAACATAACTGAGAAGTTTTTCTTACAAGGAATATATAAGTTTCTTGACGTAAAAAAACATAAGGCAAGCAGCTTCATGAGTCATTTGATGTGCTGACATGATGTGATACTCAGATTGTCTTTTAAAAATATGTAGAATACTCAACATAAGTATTTTTGATTAAAATGTTCTAATGTTGAAACTTTCCAGATTAGAGAAAGAGTGTTTCTCCTCAAACAATCAAATGAAAGAAGTGATTGAGGAGAAGAAGAAGGTAATTATGGACCTCTCTGCAAGACTAGGGAATGCTGAAAAAAGCTGCAGTGAATTACAGAGAGAACTTGCAGTGGTAAGACACAGAGCCTATGGCACTTGTTTTGGTTTTTTAAGCATGCTCTGAACATAATTTGCATTTGCTGTGCTGAGCTGTGGAATAAATCTGACTTTGCGTTACTCTGATTTTTTATTTATATTACTTTGTTTTGTGAAGCAAGAAGAGTAAATATAGATAAGATATTGGAGAAACTAATTCTAAAATGCATTTTAAGTGATACACTAAGTATTTAATTGAGGAATTATTTGCAGAAAACAGTTATTTCAAACAAGTCTTTGCATTCCTAATGAAGAAGGCAATTTGTAAATACGGACTGTAATTTTTTGTGAAGAATGTTCTATCTTCCTATCCAAGCTTTTTTTCCTCAGGCTTGATTAGTTACCATCGTAGACATAATTATTTCACATAATGTTTTTCATGCAAGCATTTGACTGCAAAAAATTTTTGAAAATGTCTTCTTTGAAGGTAACAAACTTTTTCGTTGATTGGGTTTTTTTTTTGTTTGGTGTGCATTTGTCCAGTTGGATGTATTTTACAGGATTATTTTCTGAAATATGTTTCCTTTTATATAACCAGTTGGTGCCTTCCCACTGTCTCTACGTATCCCAACTCTGAATATCAATTTTGCCATCCTCTTTAATAGCATGAGGGTCAAAACAAAAAGCTTAGGTTACCTTCATTAATAGACATAGATGAAGGGATGAAAGTGCGCCCGCAGCACATTTGCTGATGACACCAAGCTGAGTGGTGCAGTTTGCACAGCTGAAGGACAGGATGCCATCCAGAAAGACCTGGACAAGCTGGAGAAGTGGGCCCATGAAACTCTTCTGTTATTTACTAAGACCAAGTGCAAGGTGCCGCATCTGGGCCAGGGCAATCCCTGGTGTCAACACAGGCTGGGGATGAACAGATCAGAGGAGCCCTGCCCAGAAGGGCTTTGGGGGTACGCGTGGGTGAGAGGCTGGATGTGACCCTGCTGGAAGAAAGAAAGCCAAATACATCCTGGACTGCATCCAAAGCAGTGTGGTCAGCAGGGCAGAGGAGGGATTCTGCCTCTCTGCTCTGCTCTGGTGAGACCCCACTTGCAGGGCTGCACCAGCTCTGAAGTCCTCAGCACAGGACAGAGAAGGACCTGTTGGAGAGAGTCCAGAGGAGGCCACCAAGTTATTACAGGGATGGACAGCTCTGCTATGAGGTAGCCAGGAGAAGAGAAGGATTTGGGGTGGCCCAATTGTGACCTTCCACTACCTGAATAGAGACTTTCCAGAACAGCATGTAGTAAGAGGACAAGTGGAATGGCTCCAAACTGAAAGAAGGTTTTCATCAGATATTAGAAAAAAAATTTTTATTGTGAGAGTTGTGAGGCACTTAAACATAACAAAAATTTATGAAACATAACAAAGAAACTCATAACAGAGAAGTTGTGAATGTCCTATTCTTGGAAGAGTTCAAGGCTGGGTTGGAGAGGATTTTGAGCAACCTGGTCTAGCATTAGAACTAGATGAACTTTAAACTGAAAACCTTATCTCTCTTCATTGTATAGTAGCATTTGTAGTATTTCTATACTAAGCCAATATTTTTTTTCAATTGTAAATTTCTGCTCCTGCTTCCTCTTGGACTTACGAGTCTAGGAGATTACCACGATCTCTTTCCTGCTATTAGTAGACAATTGTGCTATTCAGTATATAGGAGCAGAGATCTGCATCAGAGAGTTTTCAGATTTGTTGGTGTCTACTCTTCAGCTGATGGAATTACTTCATACATTGTCTTAGTGTTATCCACTTCCCAGGTAGATTGTTAACTAATAAATTGAAGAAAAATAAAACTAAAAAACGTTTTTTCCTTTGGGAGGACACATCTTCTTCAATGCAATAATTTAATTATTAAAAGACATTTGCTGCCTCAGTAAACCTGAAAAAATAATTTTATCAGGCACAAAAAGAATGCAAAGAAAAATTCCATAGTAAAATATATGTTATACCTGACAAGAATTCAGGACAAAAGTCTATTCATGCTTCAGTTTTATTGGTAATTACAACAGTATTAAATGGTGTACTCAAAATGAGCATTGTGTAACTGAAAGTAAATAGATTGCCCCACTTGAAAGAACTGTCTTATTCATATAGCAGATTGTTTTAATTGGTTTACTGGAATTGTTTCAAGCCACAAGACTGTCTTGAACAGATAATAAAAATACTCATTTTCTGAAGAGTTGTGTTAGTGGTCCCCTGTGGGATTAGATTTTTATCACCTTGGATGGCCTTTTATTTTTCCTGAAGACTTTCGTATTTGATTGGGAAGCAGGAGTGCCTGTGTGTGGTCTTGTTTACTCAGTATAGGCAGCTTTTTTGTTATTTTTCTTCCCAAAATAAAAAACAGAAGGCTATTGTAGAAACTAAGTATAAATAACATTCAGTATACTGTTATAAGGCTTCCCCTTACTTATACTAAAATTGTGTGAAATTGTCAGTGCGTTCTTTTCCCTTTATTTCCACATCCTGCTTTCTTGATCTGTTAATTACTTCCTTATATTTTGTACTATTATTGACATCCTGAATACATCTTTTCCATTTCAGTCTGGTAATCTTAAGTTGGTTTCTCACGGTACTGTTAACATACAAATTAATGTTTTCATTTGTAAAATATTTGTAAGATACGCATAGTACATTATTTTGAAACTTTATATGAAAAAGTTTTTTTTTTTTCCTTAATGGATCAGTTGAATGTACAGTAAAGTAGTTAATTTGCTTGTAATTTTAAATACCAGCATGTTGCAGAAGTTTGCCAGAAACTTCATGGGTCAAGTGTGATAGGATCTGTTACTATCAAACAAAATTTCTTACAAATGCTCAGCATGAGGAAGCTCTCAATATTTGCATTATGTGTACTTGAGGAAATTGGTCTCAGGCTCATCATTATCTAGCTAGGGTTTCTAGAAATTTTTAGGTACAAGAACAGGAATTTAGAATAGCTAGCCATTGTGATTTAACACTTTGTTTAATTTGAAACAGCCCCAGCTGTATTCCTCCTCATGGAAAGAACAAGAGCTATCTTTAGGAGTTTTAAGTTACTCATGATATTTACATTTCTAGTACCTAGTAGTGGATGATTTTAGCATGGGACAAGCAGGAGATGTTAAACCTTTATTTTATGAGAAGTGCAAATTGAAATTTGGGAAACTTGTCAGTTCATCAGAATGCGTATTAGGAAAGTGAAATAATTAAAATATTATGTCTTAGTATAAATTCCTTTAATTTGGAAGGTGTATTTATTTGCACTCCTTTTAACAGATTCTATCAGAAGTAGCATAATTTGTATGTAAGTTGTATAATAGATTGCACACAGCTTGTGTTTTTCCACATGGCTTGTAAATCTTTCTTTTACAGCCAGACCTGAAGTCATGTTTGCATCTCAGCTGTCCATAAACACCTTGTAGGTTGTCATACGCTGAATGTCAGTACAGAAATATTTGAGAATCTAGTTCCAGGATGTACACATTAAGCATTGTTCTTTAGCAGAAGTTGCCTAGATATTGACTTGACAGACCATGAAGGACCCTGAGGATTATGATTCTGTTCTACAACTTCTGTGGAATAGAAACTGGTACACAGTGGCAAACATGTAAATATCATCTAGGCAATTTAATGTGGACAATTTATTTCAGTTTAAAAAAATATCCCAGTCATGATACACACTCTTCTTTAATTTTGTGCATTAATTGTTAAGGGTTGTTTTGTTTCGATTGGTTTTTTCCTGCCTTAACACAGGTGGAGAGTTTTTCTTCCCAGCTCTTACTTCTGTTATTGTCCTAATGTAAGAAGACTAGTTATTCTGAAGCATATGCTTAAATGATCTTCTGCAAACGAACCACTTTTTAAATTTATTTTGAAGTGCAGAGGTCACTCAAGCTGTGATGTGCTGGTGTTGGAAGACCGGCGTCTAAAATCTAAATCTGCAGTTCTCAAAAAATTTTCTCTGACTTGGATAAAAAAATAAACCTCAAGACCCAAGGAGATACTTTACAACATTCTCTCCCAGCAAAAGTTGTTACAAATCTCTTTTTGTGGGAGGCACAAGAAGGATTTCAATAAAACTTGAGCATTTTGATTAATATGTAAGACTGAGATATGAAATTTCTTGAGAGATTGTATTTAACTTACACATGGCAAGACTCTTGTAGAGATTTTTGAATATTCCAGATATAAGAAAATAAAAGTATTCAATTTGAGAACTTGAGCAAAAATAAATAGAAGCCTAAGGAGAGAGTTTGTCAGTGATGGTTTTGTTTTGTTTTTTATAATACAAGTTATGCCTGTTTACCGAAAAATATGTGCCACTTTTCTGCTTTACAGAGCATCACTTGAGTAAAATCTGTGTTTTGTGAACTGTGGAGCAGTCTTTTGTATTTCTGTAAATGCTTTGATTTGCTGCCCCCATGGTCATGCCTGGTAAACATTCTGATACTTTTGTAAAGAATTTACATGAGCACTTTTCAAGGCATATCTGAACATGCTGTTGCTTGGTGGCTATGTGGATAATTCTGGGTTTGGCTCTTACTCTGCCATCACCAGTTGGAATTTGCACTACAGACTGAGTGGGTTAATTAGTCCATGTGAAAGAGAGCCTCCCCAGGAACCCCTTGTGACTGCAGACAAAGCAGAGAAAATTTCTCAGGAATTAAGGCAGTTCATTGTACATCTGGACCCTAAGTCCCTGATTACTACTGCAGTGGTTTTGTTAAGGCAAGGCCTCAAAGTCCTGCCCACATGAAAAATAAAAGTTACTGACCTTGAGATACAGATTCACATTTGCAGCATCAGATTCTGTGGGCTGTCCTGGAACTGTGTATAGAGTTCACATTTATTTTAGTCAACCATGGCTTTTGCAAAATGCTGCAAAAACAATGGGACATCATTTCTATATGAGAACAGGAACAAAAATCAAATACTGATAGTTAAGGAAAATATGTCTACAATCAAGCTAGTAGGAACTTGTCCAGATAAATAAAAATATCTTTCTGGAAGATTGACACAAGTCTGGCAGTGAATGGAAGAATTTTATAAGCAGTCAGTTTTCAGAATAGTTCAAGTTATCCTTACAGATAAAGATAGAAAGTATTTGGAAAAAATATTTTCTCATTGGAGTTTACAGTGTTTTAAATGAAAAATGCTTAGCTTCTCTTTATTTCCTTAAAAGTTCAATTTTGTTTTGAAATTGGTGATTAAATTAATATGTTGCCAAGCATATTTTCTACTAAAATGTTTTTGTCCTCAAGAGTTGTTTTATGATAATAGGAACCTTTTTTAAGGATATGAAGTTTGTTTCAAGGAAGCATTTTATATGGTAAAATTCAGCATATGTTCTGGGTTCAGGAAGTATGATTTTTCTTCCATGTTATTTGTTTTTTTTGTTATTCAGTTTGGAATATATTGTGAAAAAGGGAATTGTCTTTAGGGACTATGGGAAATACTATTATATGTTGAGAATTTTAAATTCTCAAGTGTTCATGGAAATTTCACTCATCTTAGGGACCTGGAATTCCCAAAGGCAGGTTCTTTGAGTGAAGACTGAGGTGAAAAAAAGCAATGAGAAGGCCTTTTCTCTCTCCTGATCACTGCCTCATTAGTAATGGGCCACATTTTGCCTCGTCCTTCTTTTGGAGGTGATGTACTTCAGAAATCTTTTACTGCTGCTCTTCATATCCCATGTCAGATTCAACTTCAGGTGGATTTTGGCATCCCTAAAGATATCCCTCTAGGCTTTAACGATGTATCTGTATTTTTCCAAGTTTAGTATGTCTGAACAATCTTCTTTATGTTTCCTTATTAATACTTGGTCAGGAGTCCCCTGCATATCTGTACAGACCTCACGTTCAATTTTTAAGGTTGTTTTCAAGGATCACTGCCTAGGTCAAGAATGGTCCATTCTGGTGTAGAGGAAGTCAACAAAGTCATTAGAAGACTTATAAATTTTAATTGAGTTTATAACTATTTTTCCACCCGTTTACTAATGTGATCTGTGAAGCAAACTCTCCTTATATAAAGGCTTTAGCAGTTTTCTTGTCAACTGATTTCCCTTTTGAAATAACCTAGGAAACAATTACACCTGTACTTCTCCAGTAGTTCTACAGGAATGGCAAGACATGTTGATGGATGGAATTGTTGAGAAGGATTGTAATCACATATCCTGGAACAGCTGAATCTGTCAGCTGCAATTGATTGTGTTTGACTCTATACTTGTACACTCCATTTTCCTTTTCAAAGTAAAGTATTATGCATACTCTCTGTGTTTGTTCAGACCGAAGAAAACTAAGCAAATAATTGCTACTGCTGTAAACTATCAAGTGGGTACTTGTGGAGAAGATGGAGGTACACTCTCCTTAGATCTGTGCATTCGAAGTAGAAGAGAAAACAGGAAAGTTATAATTATCTGTAAGGGGAAAACAAAAAACTTCACAATTCAGATTGTAAGATATTGGAACAGGTTGCCTGGAGGGTTTGTTGAAATGTCATCTTTGAGGATACTCAAAACTTGACAGAACAAGGTTCAGAGCTGCCTAACCTGACTTCGACCATACTGTGCTGTGAGTGGGGAGTGGGACCAGATGACCTCCACAGGTCCTGTCAGCTTAAATTCAAGATTTTATGACTGTATATGTTTTTATTAGATACCTGTCAGTGAGACATAAGAAATCAGATCAATAATAGATCCTTTTGGACTGTGCTGGATTTTTAGCAGTGTAATTTATGGCAGTTTTTTCCTTAAATTTCTGATAATGGGGACAGTGATTGAAAATAGAAGCTAGAAAGGAAAGATACTAAATATTTTGCAGTTCAGGTGTAGAGAGATTGGCTAGTGTAAGTAATTTCCTTTTGATCTTTATTGCTGTTGAAAAAGGGACTAAAATTGACTTCAGAAGTATAGATGTAGTTAGCAAAGAAAAGCATAGAGAAACAGTGAAGGCTGAATAGACTGGAACACACTGACTAAATTATGGTAAATTAACTAAACAAAATAGAAAAATTGGATAAATTCTCACATTTTACTTTTCCATAGAAGATGTTTTTCTGGGAAGATTTAGTCTCACCTTCTTTGTGCTGGAGTATTTTATGTACAAACAACATTTATTTTGTTGTGATGTTTTCATATTATTGTATTTCCTTATTTTTTATTTGTGAGATGTCTGAGATGATGTCAGGACACAAGAGTAAAATGCTTTATTGTGCTTGCATCCCATAAAATATTTTTACCGGATCTCAACATTTACAAGTTCTATTATATAGATAATTTTATGGAGAAGGAATTAAACTTTGGTTATTTTTCAATATATAGAAGTGATTTGGAAATTCTTTATGAAGTGTAATACAAACTCTCACACCAGGAAAAGCGTGTAAATGTTACAGGGGACCTAACACTGAAATACACATATGAATAATATATTAGTTGATATACAGTACATATAATTAAAATTGAAAGAGTAAAGCAAATTTATAAAATATTTAAACTGAATAGTAAGGAACACTGCAGAGAATTAAATGCATTTCTTGTTTTTTTAGTCCTGACAGTTATATGCTACCAGTATGTAGCAGTTTTCCTGGGGAGGATGTTTCCCATACATAAGAAATTGCCTGAGTTCTTTGACATGCAATGAAGCATAACTAAAACAACAGTCTCTAGATATGATAGAAAACAGTAGATTTTTTCTCAGTAAAAATGGTTAACTTTCCATTACCAAGTAGAAATGAAATTACACAAATATGTGTTACAATTTAGAATTTAGAAATAAATTGAGCGGTTAGAAGTCATGAGACATCTTTGACCAGAACCTTTGTCATAAGAAAATTGTGAAGTTATTTAAATAGTTTCCTCTTGAGGAGGGATGGAGAGATGGTTGGTTTTCTTTCTTTTTTTTTTTTTTTTTTTTTTTGCTTCCTTTAGGTTTTCTAAACTGCTGAATTTTTGTCAGTCAGTCAGCAGCTAAAATCAGACATTTCCTTGAAAAGTCAAAACTCTGTATACTCAAAAAGACCTTGGTCTTGTCTGGAATTATGGATACATGTCTTTGAAAACTGCAAGTTATCAGATATAAATTGAAGGATTTATTTGGTATAGTCTTTCTATTGTAGTGACTTAAAAAAATCTGATGTAGAACTTTTCTAACCTCAAAAAATTTGGTGTCTTGATTTGAACAATAGACTGCACTTAGTGAACAGCTTTCTTTAAGAAAATTTGCTGATAGGGGCTAAGAACTCTGTAGTTTTATGTTCCATGCGCAAGGATGAGGTTTTGGTATTGAAGAAATCCCTGTCTAGCATGGATCATATTAACAATTGAACTAGGCAGGGTTTGCAATGAGAATAGGTGTGGGATTTGACTGAGTGCCAAATCATGGATTTCTAGCCTGTCTGCCAGTAGTTGGGTGTCTTTCTGGATGCCCTTGTAGGATGTAACAATAGATTTCACTGCTTGCATAGATGGGCGGAATTTAGTGTCCATTAAGATACTTTTAAAGCAGAAGATTATGAAGACTATGTTTTTGTACAACCATCTTTTGTTTTGCTTTTGAAATCCTTTAGTTTTATGTTGTGTGTTACAAGGTTCTTATTTGTTATGTCATGCTAGGTCTCTTGGCTTGAGAAAAGACATAAAAAGAAATACAGTAGAAATTTAAATTTAAAAAAGAAATTTAAAAATTCTGTTTACTTATTTTAATGTGTTTACAGAATTGAGCCC